CGATGTGGCTCCGCTTCCTGGCAGGGAGGGTGGGAACGGCAGCCACGCGTGCAGGTGCCACCCCCTGCCCTGCTCGGCTCCCGCTCTCGGCCCCGTGTCTATTTCCAGCAGCCCGGCTGCCCCAGGCCGGCGCCAGGTGTGGGTGGTGAGTCAGAGCCCGGCTGAGCACGCGGTGGCCCTGAGGGCCTGAAGCTGTCACAATCTTCCCCTCTCAGTGGTTCCTGCCCAGCAGCCCCTCGATGGAGGGTGGGGGAAGCTAGACCACTGCTGAAGGGTCCCCCACCAGGGTCACCAAAAATACACGGGGACGGAGCCCCCAAATGCCGTAATTCTACCTGTCTGGTGGCTGGTGGGGGCAGGGGCCACGTCCCGCTCACCTCCTCTCCCGCGATACCTGGGCCAGGCTTGGCGCAAGAGGACGCAGGAATGTGCACTGTGGGAAGGAGCCGACATTTGCACACACCTTTGGAGAACAGAGTTTGCTGTGTGCAGGTGCATGCGAGGACAGAACTGGTTTCTGGAGACAGACAAACAGACAGACAGGGACAGCGTGTGTGTGCGGCGGGGCGGGTGAATTTGTCTCTCTGAGCCTTAGTTTGCTCATCGGTGACATGGGGGTGACAATGTACACCTCGTAAAGGACCCCTGGGAGGGACAAACAAGGCCACCTCGGGGGCTGTCTGCTGCGCCTCAGCCTCTGTCTGTGACGACGGTGCCAAGAACTTCTGTTGCGAGCACACTGCCATCCCTGCCCCTCCCTGGACGGCGACCGACTCCTGGGTCCAGGCTGGGCCTCGCTCATTTCCGCTCCTCCACGCGGGCACTGGGCCTGGCACGGAGTCGCAGCTCCCTGCACATCGCCACGTCACTGACCGATTCCATCCAAGGCCGGAGCCTGTGAGATGGAACAGTGGCCGCTCCGACACTAGGTGCACCCATTCCCCCACAAAAGAGAAGCCAGCTTTTGGCTTCTTAAGCACCTGTATGCAAAGAACTTTGTAGCTTAATTCATCCAGTTCTCACAGCTCCACATAAACCATTACTGTTATTGTCCCCCTTTTACAGATGAGGTAACTGAGGTTTCGAGACGTTAAGTCACTTGCTTACAGTCACATGTTGACCTAGAGGTGGAGCTGAGACCAGACTCAGCCCTGTCTGGCCTCATGATGTCCTTAATGGCCCCTATTCTCTCTCGTGTAGACACAGAGGGAGTCGGGAAGGCGCTGCCAGCGGATTTCCCGGCTGATCTGCGCTGGCTTAAGGTGGCCAGGACCCCAGGCCTGTCTACAAGTCTGTGTGCCCTGCACTGCCCCCCCCCCCCCACCGCCCAGCACCGAGGACTTTCAGGGGCTAGGACTCCGTCTCCTTCACCTCGACAACCCCGGGCTCAGCACAGGGCCCCGCGCAGAGTGGGAGGTTTGCCTGAGTCTCCAGAGGGAATGAGTGGCCTCGGGCCTTCTCTGTGGACTGCGTCCCATACTGTGGAGAGGATACAAATTATTCCACTGGAAGGCACTGAATTTCTGGATTCCAGTCTAGTCCCCAGTGGCAACAGTGAGTGCATCAGCAGGGTCGCCACCCCAGCTAAACTGGCTTCTTAGTCACAGTCGGCACTTCGCTCCGTTTCAGCCCCAGATCGACCCTCTCTCTCTCTCTGCTAAGTCTGGAGCTCTCTCCTCATCCCGCGCACAGCTCTCGCACCTGGCCAAGGTCACCGAGGCAGCTTCGTGTCAGGTGGGCTGGGACTTTTAGTCCCTGAGCAGTGAGTCATTGCTATAGCCCCAGTCCCCAGCACCACGCGCCAGGCACAGGATAGGTGCTCAGTACATAATCGTCAAATGAGTGAACAAATCTCAGGACTCGACATATCTGCAGCTCTGTTGAGCTCCCTGCTGGGAAAGCTCTGGACGGATGCGTGCGTGCCCTTGGCACTTCTGGGGCTTGGTCTTTGCGTCTTTGAAATGGATCATGTGATGGAAGCAACCCCAGTGTTCACTGCAGCGTGCTGGGGAGGCAGTGGGCATTCCCGTCCGCAGGCCTCCCCACACCCCGTGCCCGCCCAGATTCCGACCCGAGCCCTCAAACAATGTGCAATGGTCATCGTTGACTGGAATCTAGGCGCTCACTGTGGGTTGGGCTTTACAACCCTCAGTGCAAGAGCAAGACCCCCTTTTGTCCTGTCAAGGAAGCAGACTGCAGAGCATCTGGTGTGAATGACATTATTACGGGGACCATTCGTTCGTCGCTTTCTCTCTTTAACAACTGCTTAGGGAGCATCTTCTGAGCACCGGCTCTGGGGATATAACAATGAACAAGAAGCCCTTTTGGAGCACACATGCTGGTTGGAGAGACAGGATGTAAAAAAATAGGGACACATATTAAACAAGAGGACTTCTGATTAAGAATAATGCCCTGAAGGAAATCGGCAGGGTGCCGGGCTACAGGGGAATGAGGAGGTGCTGACTTAGCAAAAAGCAGAAGGAAGAGCATGTGAGGCAGAAGGAACAGGATGTGCAAACACTCTGAAGGAGGAAAGGGATCATCATGGATTTTTTTTTTCCAACAAAGAGAATCAGTATGAAACTGTAATTTTTTAGTTATTAGCCATGCCAGATGAATTTCCTCCTTCAGCAAACAGGTCCCTAGTGTGCAGCGGGCCCTGGGCTAGGCCCTGGGGACAAACAGTGATGTATGAAACCGACATTCTCGTCACACACATCCTGGCCCTGGCGCCCCATGGCGACGAGCTGGGCTGCCGTTTGTGAAGGGCTCCCAGCTTGGATCCTTGGGGAATCCAAACAAACCCCGCAGGCTCTGGCATCCAGGCCTCCCGCCAGCCGCTCCTGACCGTCCTGGGAGGGAGGCCTCTGTTTCCTGCCTCTCCCGCCCCCACCCACCTGGGCACAGAGGGTCTTTCATCCATTGTTACTGCTTCCTGCCCATCCATCTCCAGCTGCTGGGCTGAGCCCAGCAGATTTACACTGACAAGCGGATGCTTTAACCGGGACCCTCCAGGGGGGATAAGGAGGGGAGTGGTCTGGGTGGGGAGCCGAGGGGGGAGGGAGGCCTTCAGCTCAGTGACAAGGAAGAGTTTCCTGCCCTGAAGAGGTGTCAGACCCTAAGGGCTGAGAGGACAGGAAGCAGGCCTCTGTCCCTAGACTCCTCCACGCTGGGGGAGGGACAGATGAATGACCCCTGACGTGGCGGGGCCTCCGTGCCCTTTGGATCGGGTTTGGGTTCAGCCAGGAACCACTAGACCTCACGAGTGGGGAATAACCCTGTGCATTAAAAGAGGAAATTTTATATGAAAAAAGCTGTTATTATTATAGGTACTGATGCAGTCAACATGGAGTGGAGGGGGGGTGGCTTGAGGGGCTCCCAACTGAGGAAGACACTGTGGGAAGAGCTGAGACTTAAATGGTGAGAGTGAGTGAGCCAGCAGCAGGAAGGGCCACCCCAGCAGAGGGCACGGCCGGCCGAGCAAGGGCGCACAGGCCTGGAGATAACAAATGGCATCGGGCGCCCCAGGGACATGCAGGGGAACATCCAGGTGAGGCCCAGAGGGTGATGCGGCGCAGCTGGAGCCCAGGGTCCTGTAAGCCCAAGCTAGGTGTCGGGTCGCCATCCTGGACGATGGCAGGGTTTAAATGGAGGAGGAACAGGTCAGATTTGGGTTGAAGTGTGGAGGGTGGGTAGGCAGGGTGGTACCTGAGGGCACTGAGACCACACAGGAGGCTGGTGCAGTCGTGCTGAGAGTGGTAAAGGGGGGAAAGCTTTCCTACCCCGTAAAGAGCCTAGCTGATGGCTGGCACGTAGTAGGTTCTCAGTTACAGGGCACTGTAAATGCAGTTAAATGGGGCAGCTGTGGCAGGGCTGGGGTGGGAGACTGGTGTGAGAAACACGGAGAACGTCAAATCCGCAGGAGTCACCGACTGGCAGGATGTGGGTGTGAGAGGAGTCACAGAACAGCTTCAATATTAAGCACCACTGTATGTATGAGCCAACTCCCTCAGGCGGTTGTCCAGCTTCATTTATCTAGGTTCTTACTGAACACCTACTGTGTGCAAGGCTACAGTACAAAGCAGAGCTAGTCCCTGTGCTGCTGGAGCTCACGGTTCAGCCTTGGTTAACAATAGAAGGACCAACTGTCTGCTTTTGTCAGATGTTCCAAGACAGCTAGGGCCTCTGGAGCAGCCTCCTGGCGGATTCTCTTGATTATCTGCAGACTTCCCCAACCGAGCACGCCCCAAACTGAACCCCTACACCTGTCCGTGCAGCCTGCAGGTTCTCCCACCTCTGGGAATAGCACTGCCACCCACCAGGTGCTCAGGCCAGAAACCTGGGTGTCCCCTGCAGGGCCCTCCTCTCTACCATCCACCCCACCCCCGTCCAGCCCATCTGCAACTCCTGGGGAGGTGATTTCCAAGACAGATCGTGAGTTCCTCATGTTCTGTCCTTTTCCCTTTCCCCTCCCAGTCCAGGCCACCGGCACTCCCACCTGGGTGCTATGTTCTTGCCTAACTGGCCTTCTGGTAGCTTGACCCCACCCCTACCCCATCAGTATCCCCCCGCCACAGGCAAAAGGAGGCTTCCTAAAAGGCCCACAAACCGCACTCCATGATTCCACTTCTCCAAACCTTGCTTCTGTGGCTCCCCATGGACCTGGAATCAAACCCAAAAATCCAAGCAGGTCCTCCATGCCCTACACCTCCCAGCATCCTCCTGCGAGTCTACGCCTCTTCCCACCTCCCCCTGCCCTGGCCTCTCTTGAACCACCAAGCTCCTTCCCTCCCACCTCCTGGCCACTGACTTGCTGGCCTCTCTCCTGGCGATGCCCTGCCCTCCATCCTTTGCTGGGCTGGCTTCTTCTCACCCTCCAGGTCTCAGTTTAAATGCCCCCCTTCCAGGGGCCTCCCTGCCCAGCCTGGTCTGTCCCCTTCATCTGAGTCTTAGTACTGCTTGTTCCCCTCACCCCCACCCCCGGTCCCAGGTTGCAATTATTTTGTTGACTTTTGGTATCCATCTTCCCCTCTGTAGACTAAGATCTCCTGAAGGCAGCATCCAGGTGTGTCTTCGCCCCTCTGCTGCCATCGGCCAGACGCTGAGCTCTGTGGGTCCAGTCAGCGCATCGCTTCCCGGCAGCTTCTCCCAGCTCCCTTTCGGCTCGGGCAGAAACACGCCGGCCCCCCTCCCCAGCCTCAGTGGAACAACTTGCGGGTTACCTTGTCCTCTATCAATTTCTAATAAGCCGGGTTATTTTTAGAACAGGTAGAAGCAACGATCTAACATCGCTGAGAGGATTTTCCACTCCCATCTGCCTTTCTATGCACTTTGGTTTCCTGTAGTGGTTGCGGAGGCTGCCAAGCCAGCAGGCTTTGTTATGCTAGGGTGCAAAGAAGGGCCTCAGAAGAAAATGAAGCCCCTCTGCTCATACCCTGCATGGAGAGAAGTGAGGTGCCTCGTGCAACCGTCTGGCAGACCGTGGGAAGCCTGGAGGAAGCCTGCTGCTCCTCCAAGGGCCACCTCCTGGTGAACTTGGCCTTGTCACTTTCCCTCTCTGAGGCTCAGTTACTCATTTCTAAAAGGAGGGGGTTGGAAGGTTAGTTACTGAAGGCCTCTCGCTGCTAAGATTTAAGTGGAACCACGAGCCCTTGGGTCTTTTCCATCCTGGACATCAATTAGATGACAGTCTTAATTCTTTCTATGAATGAAATGTAGTCGGTGCCTCTTATAGCACATATGCAAACATATGCAAATTAATACAAAATAAAGGACCCCAGAAGTTCTTGTTCACAGGACCAAGGCCTGGCCAGACCTGGGGTGGAGGGAGAAACTTGGCTCAAGCTTTCATCCTGATCCGATGTCCTTCCTCATATCCCAGAGAGAGGAAACGGAGGTCCTTAGAGGAAAGGTGACTTGCTCAAGGTCACCCAGCAAGACACTGGCAAAGTATATAACCAGCCAGGTCTCCAGTCTAGTACTTTGCCTGCCTGTTGTTCCTGCCATTCAGCTGCTGGCCTGGGGTCAAGGTGGACTGGAATACGTTTCGTGAGGAAGTTTATGTGGGGGAGGGAGCCGGCCCTTTGGTCTTGTGATCAGGGTGAAGGCGTCCTCTGGGTCAGGTGTGGAGAGAGCAGTCCGCGTGGACGTAATGGCCTCCGCCCAGGAGCAGACTGGAAATCAGGAAAACGCAGCCCGCCACGCTCAGCTGTTTCTGCTTGCAGACACAGCTCCGGGACAAGCCCCCACTGTGCCCCTTCCAGCCAGAATGGATCACCCCAGTCTCGTTTAAGTGGAAACTCTGGAAACTCTGGAAACTCTGGAAACTCTGTAAGAGAGAGCACATGTGTGGAAGTAGTGAAAAACAAGCCTGGAGAGCGACCTGGAAGCCAACTGGTACGAGGCCCGAGATGGGATAGGCCAGGGAGCCTGGACTTTATTCTGAGAGCAGAAGGGAGCCACTGCGGGTTTTATGGCAGGAAGAGAAGTCATCGGGTTTGTGTTTATGGTGATCGGACTGGCTGCTGCTGGCAGGGAAGTCGGTTGGGAGACGAGGGCAATAGTCCCAGTGGTGGGGATGAAAGGCCCGAGCCAGGCCGAAGAGGCAGGGGCGGAGAGCATGGGCGTTTCTCCGCGTGGAGCGGCCGGAGCCTGTGTGGATGGAGGAGCAAGGGCGAACACTGGGAACAGCGCGTGCTGCCTCACCCAGGGAGGAAGGGCGCGGAGGCCTCTCCTCTCTGCCCCTCGCCTGGCCGGCTGTGCCCCGCGCTGGTGCCCAGGCAGGAGGGGAAGGAGGTGCCCAGGTCAGGGGAGCAGCTGCCTGCCAGGAATCTGGGACGGAGGGCAGCTTGACTTTGTTCTCCGGGGACTTTTATTCTGTTTCTCTAACTTGTTAAGGAAGACCTGAGGGCCTTAGGGGACCACAAGTCAAGCATTTCTCAAACAGTTATTTTGTTCTCACTAGGGCAAAGTATTAGTGTGGGTGACAGGCATGTCGAGGCTGTATTCTCCGAGTCTCAAACCAGGACATGCCATCTGTATGGGACCTTTTTCCAGGTTCCAGGTTTATCTATATGACAAGCACTTTAATGGCATGTTATGGGTTGAACTGTCTCTCCAGAAAAGATTTGCTGAAGTCCTAACCCCCAGTACTCAGACTGTGCCCTTATTTGGGAATAAGATTGTTGCAGATATAATTAGTTAAAATGAGGTCATGCCGGAGTAGCACGGGCCCTTACTCCCATACGACTGGTGCCCTTATATGAAGAGGGGAGAGACCCACAGGCAGAACACCACAAGGCCGGCGCGACGCAGCAGCAAACCAGGGAATGCCGAGGACGGACAGAAGCTAGGAAGAGGAGAGAAAGGCTTCTTTCTCCCTGGAGTCTCGGAGAACACGGCCCTATCACACCTTGATTTCAGTCAAGAACAGTGGCAGGATACATTTCTGTTACCTTCAGCCACCTGATTCGTGGGGCTCTGTTACAGTAGCCTCAGGAACCGAAAACACTGAAATAAATCACATGTAACTTCCGTCCACGTAGACCCCCACTGGTCGCCACTTTAAAGGAGGGCACCTTTCTAGGGACAGGCCTGTCCACGTTACTCCCTGGCTCAAAATTTGTCCGCGGCTCCCCAGGGCCCAGGGCTCCGGCTGCTCCCCGTCTGCGCCCCCCTCCCCCCGGCACCTGCCCCGCCCCTCTCAGCACCAGCACACCATCCCCTGTTCGGGCCTTTCCTCTGGTGGCTCACTCCACATCCTGCCCCCGACACCTGTTCCCTCTTCCCTTTCCTCAGTGGAGCGGTTAAGAGCAGGCCGCCTGGTTTCGAGGCCGGGCTGTGCCATTTCTGAGCATCTAGCAGCGAGGTCTCGCTGCAAGTTCTCACCACAGTGTCTCCATCTCCTCACCTGAAGGACGGGAATACTAGCAGTTCCTACCTCACAGGGTTGTGTGAGGACGAAACCCTTTAAAGGGCTTTGCCCTTTCATCTGGTTTGCGGTGAGCACACGGCAGAGTGGTTACTATCATCTCCCTGATGCGACGCTTGGCTGGCTGCCCTCCAGAAAGCCTCGGGGACCACCGCCCTGGCCCCCTGCTGGGGGTGCCACGAGGGTCTTGTAGCTCCCTCACCTCGTTTCCGTCTCCGCCAGATCGCGCACCTCTCCGGGTAGGGAAGAGGCCGGCGGCTTCCCTGCATCTGGGCGCACAGCAGGTGCTCCAGAAAGGCTCGTGGCGGGAACTACTGAGCAGAGAACTGGCAGTGGCCGAGGAGATGTGGGAGGTAGAGCTTGGGGACATCTCTCGTAGGATGGCCTGGCCATCCTCCTGGAAGTGAAAGTCTTACCACTGTTACTTCTGAGAGCATAAGAAAGAAAGTGAGAACTGGAGAGAAAAAGGCAGAACATGAACCTGCTCCAGCACCCCTGACTTTGCCCCCAACCCCAGCACATCCTGCCCGCTGTGGCGCCCCTCAACATGCTGTCACCCACGCACGCCTAGCCCGTCCCCAGCCAGCAGCTTCCTCTGACACACATTTTCCATCGCTGGGTGGGGCAGAGCAGGTTACAGGTGAAAACAGTCTCCGGGGTTTCCTTTCCCAGGTCCTTCCCCCAGCTCCCAGCTCCCAGCTCCCGGCCCCGGTTTGGCTCCTGCTCCTGCCGAACCTGTCTGTCCACAGCCCCTGACTTCAGTGGCACAGGGCTGGTGGGGGGCCAGAACATTCAAGGCCCCGTGAAGTGTCGCCTGGTGTCTGGGATCGGGTACAGGGCGGGAAGTCAGGATGCCGGCTCTGCTGCGTCCGAGCTGTGTGACTCTGGGCAAGTCTCTTCCCCTCTCTGAGCCATCTTGCCCCCATCTGTAAATTACTGTAGAAAGAAGCAGTAATTCTGCTCCCCTGGGATTGTTGTGGGAATGAAATGGGACAATGGGGAGAGCATGAATGAGTCCGACCACTCTGATCATCTGTGGAGACAGGGCAGCAGCCCAGTGGCCGTAGAGAGGGTCCCCGTCTCCAGGCCTAGCACCGTGCCAGGCTTTGAGGGGCTGCGAGTGTTTGGACTCCAGCATCGCTGAGTGTGTGTGTGTGTGCGTGTGTGGAGGGAGGAGTTGGGACCCGGGCTCCAGTGGAAAGAACACCAGAACACTTTGGAATGAGAGACCTGGGCTCCGGGACCCCTTGAATCTCCATGTGAGTTTGGCATGTCCTTCCTCCTCTCCAGGCTCCTGTTTCCCCAGCTTCCGATAAGGGAACTAATCAGATGCTCTCTAGGTCTGCAAGGTCAGACATCCCAGGCCCCACGCTATGCTGGGAGAAGGCAAACCCGGTAAGGCTGGTGCGAACTTGAGTCGTCCTGCTTTTAAGCCGCCCCCGAGAACCTGGGGGGAGATCACGGCTTGAGGCCAGTCCTGCATTTCCTCCCACCGGCCCTGCTGCCGGTCCCTGAGTCACTGGCCAGCCCGCATCACTGCCCAGCTCATCAGCCAGGCTTCCTCCTTCTGGCTCCACCAGTCCCTGTTCCTCTTTCAGACCCAGCTCAGGTGCTCCTTCCTCGAGCAGCCTTCCCTGACTCTCTAGGGCACGGTCGAGCATTTCCTCCTTGGGCCTCCCACGGCACCTCCTGGAACCCTCCATGACCCCACTCCCCTCCCCTGCGTAGACTCAGAGTCCTCTGGCCTCGCCAGGTTTGGGGGAAGAGCTGAGTGTTCCTTGCTGCTGCCCGCAGAGCCTGCAGCCTGGGACTAGAGCAGAGTCGACAGTGACCGATGAGCGGATGCCAGGGTGGGGAGAAAACGAGCCGATGTCTGGATGGAGGAGAGGAGGATCTGAGAGACGGATGCATACATGGGCACCGGGGGCGGCTGGGTGGACGACCTGTGAGTGGATGGGGAACTGACGAAGGGTAAACAGGTCGGGAATACTCGGCTACTGACCACTATTTTTAGCATCACACAAACATCTCTGGAGTCACAACACGCACCCCGGGCGTGCCAGGGGACTCCCCACTATTCCGTGGCTCTGGTTTCTCCTCCAAAACACGGACGTGGGTCTGAGGATTCTCCCACGGCTCTCTCCACGTGAGAGCCGGGGGTAAGCCGCCCTTCGGAAGGTCTTACCTTCATCACCCCACTTTAGTTTCCCAAGCATCAGTGTGAAGTGATGGCGACTGGTTCCCTGTGACCTCTACAAGCTCCGCCAGGCTCAGGGAGTGGGCGTTTGTGGACAAGCCAGTGTCTGGGCTGGGAAGGCATTGCTGACTGTGGCCTTGGCCGAGAGGCCACGCTGACTTCTCGGTGTGCCTAGGCTGGTTGCCGCCTTCGCCCTCCCCCTCTAGCCAGTGCCTTTTGCTCGCACACAAGCCCCTCTCCCAAAGAGGAGTTGACACCTTACCACCTGGCCTCCGCTCTCTTCTGCCACCACACCCCGCGCTATCGTGATGGCGGGCAGAGCCCATTTTGGAGGGTGGTTACCCTGTCCCCATCTGTCCCATAGAATCAGCTGGCGGAAAACATACAGGATTTAGGGTCAGAACTCCTCGGCTGAAGTTTTGACTTTTCAGCCCTGTTTAGCTGCTTCTCTCTGGGGAGCAGGGTTTGGCCGCAAGACAGAGCAGGGCAGCAGGAAGAGACAGGCTTTGGAGCTGCACAGGGGCAGGTTCAAACCCTGCCCCACTAGGGAGTGACTGTGACCTCAGGCGCGTGACTTAACTCCTCTGAGTCTCTGCTTCCCCATCTGTAAAATGGGAGAAACAGCACCACTTACCTCCCAGAGCTGTTGGAGGGATCAAATGAGACGCCTGCTCCACCCCTAACCATAGGAGGCTCCTGAGCCCCGAAATGCAGCCGGGTGAACTGATATGGGCCGTAAGTGCAAAACACACCCCAGAATTTGAAGACTTAAGAAAATATGTAACAAATATTAAGAATGTTTATATCAATTTTTAATGGATATTATATGTTGATAATATTTTCAGATATTGGTTAAATAAAAATTTATTTGAAAAATTTTTAAAGATGCTGCTCCAAAGTCCTTCTCCTGCGCAGCCGCCCGAGCCTCCCCGGAGCCTGACGTTTCCCTCCTGCCTGGGCACGGGCTCGCACGCTCCTCTGCCCGGGCTCAGAGCCAGCACTGTGGCCGTCCGCTCAGGGGTCCGTCCCTCCAGCTAGCCCATGCGCTCTTTGAGGTCAGGGACCCTCTCGTGGCCATCTCTGCCCCCAGACCCCTGGCACAGAGCAGGCACTCAGCAGAAGTTGCTCGAATGGGTCAGTCCATGCATGTGGAAGCAGTGTGAATGTCTGTCATTCGCCCATACCTGGAGTCCTGGATGAGCACAACAGAGCACAATGTGATCGGGGCTCCGGCAGGAAACAGATGGTGCACTCGAACTGAGTGATTTGAAGAGAGTTTCATCAAGGGACTACGAACAAAGATACGGGCAGGATTTAGAGAAACTGGGAGGGCTGGTGCAGTGTCCTGGAGCCGGCAACAATGGGGAGCTGTTACCAGCCAAGGCCTGGAGGATGGGGAGGCAGAGCTGACTCGGACCCAGGGCCAGAGATACACATGCACAGGCTGCCTACAGGGGCTGTAGCCTTTGGGTGAAGGACACGGCCAACCCATGGCAACCCCGCAGGAAGGGGCTTGGGAAATAAGTACTCGGGCCCCATTCTCCACCTGCCCTCTGCCCTCCTCCCCTCCTGCCCCACCCAGCCGAGAGCCAGAGGGCAAAGGAGACCATTGATTCTGCTCACAGAGGTCATTTGCCAGGGCACAGAGCAGGATGCAGAAGGGCAGAGGGGAGTTCGGGAGGGGCCAACAGAGAAATAAATCATCACTAGAGAGAACATTATACCCCTGGGATGTTTGAGGGCCTCTGGACATCCACATAAAGTGCAAGAAATGGTCACAGCCAACTACAGTCATTAATTAAGCAACTACTGCGTGTTGGGTGCCATGCCAATCTGTTTTCCAGGCTCACAGAGTGTAAGTGACTAGCCTGAGGTCGCACAACAGGAAACGGCAGAGCTAGGACTGGAACATGGGTGGGCCCCCAAACTCAGGTTCTGGTCGCCCTTTGGGCCTGCACATCGGGTACTACGCTGGGCTTTATCTCCATGATCTCTAATCCATCAAAACTCTGCAAGGCTGTATCCTTTTCCTGCCTCTGAGAGGTCGAGTAATTTCTCCAGGACTACACAGCTCATGGGACGTGGGGACGAGGCAGGAAGCAGAGTCGGAGAGTTTGCCATTAAATGGGGCAGGTAGCCGGCAGATTGCACGGTGGCAGCCTCCGGGACTTTTTTTTAGCCCCGATGGGTGGAGTCGGCCTGCACCAGGTGCCTCCTGGAGCCAGCACCCAGCTGCAGCCCCGAGTTAGATTTTCATAGCTGTGCAGGGCCCTCAGCATCCTCCGGGCTGGCGCTCGCCTGTGACTCTCAAATGAATAATAACCATGACAGTGACAGCCGTGGCTTCCTGAGCTCCGGTCACTGTCTTTACATGGTCACCGAATCTGACCACAACTCTCCCTTAGGGTTGTATAATAACCACGGGCGGGTGTCATGGACCGCCCACTCTGCAGATGGAGAACTGAGGCTGAGAAGGCAGGCGACTTGTCCTTGGTCACACAGCAAATCAGACCCTGCGCGGCCAGGCCTGCCCCCAGGGCGGATCTGCAGCTGAGAGCACAGGTTCTGGGCCCAGGCAGACTGCGTCCCCCTGGCTCCACACCCGCCAGACACATGGACCTGGGGCAAGTCGCTTTCCCGTGTCTTAGTTTCCTCCTTTGTAAAACAACGATGACAGTAGTCTCTGCTCCGTGTGGTTGTGGTGAGGATAAAATGAGTTATTGTACCCGAAGTGCTTAAAACAGCGGCTAGAACCCTCTAAGGATCATTCTACCTCTGAGCCCTCGGAGCTTTCCAACCGCAGCCACGAAGGCGCTAGCTGTGTCCCTGCAGGGTCCCAGCTTTCACAGTCACCGGCCCAGTGAGTGAGTGAGTGGCTGCCACCCTGCACGGTGCTTCGCCTGCGCATTCTTACTTTGCCCAGCCTCACCATCACGCCATCACCCTTTTACAGACAAGGAGACCGAGGTCCAGGGAAGAGTAACGAGACCTGGCCAGGCCTTCACACCTCATAAATCGCAGAGGGAGGAGGGCCACTCCCAAGTTGAAGCTGGTAATTCCCTCTCTCCCAACGGCAGGAAACCCAGATTGTTATGATTATTGGTATTGTTGTCCAAAACAATACTCGAGACAATAACGGTAAAACAACCACGAAGGGTGCTTATTTCCATCGGTTCCACAATCATCCCGCTGCCCAGGGAGGGGGGCTGGGGCTTTCAGAAGAGGCTCCTCGAGGCAGCAGGACGAACAAACAAGCAGTGAAAACCTCGCAGCTGGGCCCCAGGTGCTGGGAGAGAGAGTGGGGCAGGAAGCGGGCAGGCCATTTCTTTCTTTCCTCTTCTTTCTTATTTGTTTGAGAAGCAACTTTACTTTCTAAATCGGTCATTGTCACCCGTTGGCCCCCGCCCCACCTGGGCCAGGGCCCCTGGTGACAGGGGCTTGAGAGGAAGCTCTAGGGAGCAGGAGGGACCGGGGCACTAGGTGTGGCAGGGCCCCGGGCTCAGCTGGACTTGGGAGGGCTTCTTCCCTAGCAGGGCCCCCGGGGGCTCCCTCAAGGTGGCCAGGGCCCGGCAGGCCCAGTCCTCTACCGGCAGGCCCAGTCCTCTAGGTTCCGCTGTGGCAGGGTGCGGCAGGGGGAGTGGGGAGCTCGTGGGGGGTGGGGTTAGGGGGATGGCTCTGGAGTCAGACCTATTTGCCTTCCAAGCTCTGTGACCTCGCCTCTCTAAGCCTCTGTTTTCTCACCTGTAAAATGGGAGGGGTGGTTGTGAAGCTTAAACATAATTAAATGACAAATGTAAGGAATGTAGCACATTTAAAGCACTTAATGTACATGCTAGCTGGAGATTTACTTAAGAAGCCAACATTCAATGGGCATTTCCTCTATGCCAGGCACTTTTAAAGCATTCTACATGAATTCGTTTCTCTAATCAGACAATACCACTCTCCCCACCTCCACAGACGAATGAGCGGAGGCCAGGGTGCCACTCACACGGGGGTGGGTGCAGGTTTTGCACGACATCAGGAGAGCTTACAAGATATCAGGATACCCCCTTAAGAAAAATAATATAAAATTATAATTATGAGTACAAAATGTGTTATAAAGTCATGCAATGAAGTCATCCAAGGCTTAACCTTCACTCTCTCTCAAGCTCAGGATCACCTTCCTGGCAAGTAGCAGAGCGCAGGTGGCCAACTACGGAACCCACAGGGCCATAAAAGCAGAACTGACGGGCAACGAGGCAGTCACTGCGGAACGCTGCGAGGTGCCAGCGACCACGGGGCCCCACTCCCACCGTGCTCGCCCTGCCCCGCACTCTCTCATGTCCCCTCCACTCCGACCACAACCCAGGAATGCTGTGCCACCACCCGAATGTCACAGGCCAGGACTGAGGCTCTGCAGGGTCAGGGACATGCCTCAGGACACGGAGCTAAGAAGGGGTAGAGCAGGATTCGAACCCTGGCAGCCAGGCTTCAGTGGCTACATGTTTAACCACTGCACTAACTGCTGCCTCCCTTGTCTCCAGGGGTCAGCTCCTCCTGCCGGTCTGCGGTCTGGTCCTCTCATCTCTTGCCTGACAGCATCTTGGGGTGGGGACGAGACAACCCGGCTCTGGAGTCAGAGATGCCCGGATGCTAATCCTCACCCTTTGGCATCCTAGCTGCGAGTGCCTGGGGCAGACTTTTCACATCTCTGAACCTCGGTTTTCTGATCTGTAAAATAGGGTGGTATAGTTTACAGGGTGGCCCTGAAGTCTGGATGCACTTGTTATTGTTTTACATGCTGTGTATCAGCAAACCATTTACTATGTCTGTACACATGCCTCTGCCAGCAGACCAGCTGGCTCTGTCACCTTGAACAGGTCCCCTCACCTTTCCCGTGCTCCGTTTCTCTATTTGGAAGTTGCAGGCACCATCTCCACAGTGTAAGTGTAATAGCCACTAAGGTCCTTAAGATACTGAATTTTTGTATAGGAGCACAGGAGTGCCTTCTGGGGCATTCTGAGGGCTGCTCCCACTGAGGCCCCCCCTTCTTCTTAGGTGCACTTCGGGGCTGCCACCCTTGAGACAGAGAGGAGGGTTTGCAGTGAACTCGCACATCTCATCTGCTCCAGCAGAGCCAGCCAGCCTTGATCTAATCTCTGCTTCCTCGGGTGTACAACGGGGACAGGGATAATAGACTTCCTTACCCCACAGAGCAGATAAGGAGACTGAGGCTCCAGGAGGCACGGCGCTTGCTGGAGGCCCTGGCTCCCATCGTGTCCTTGCCCCACTGTCCCTGGCTCACCCTCCCACAGGTGTGGGCCTGCTCAGTGTGGGAATCCTGGCTCCTCCTCCCCGTCCCAGAGGGTTGGGTCACTTATCCTTCTCTTTCTGCCTGGCATCCTGTCTCTCCTCTCTTCTCCACCTGATAAACTCATCCAGTGGGGTCAGTCCCTGGTGCCCCCCCCTTACAAGCGTGGTGACTCTGAGCAAGCTACCTGCCTTCTCCGGACCCCCATTCCTTCATCCATGTAACGAGGACAACAGGCGCTCCCTTATATGTGGAAATGCTCAGCCCACCAGCACCTGCACCACGGTCAGCACGCATTAAATTGCCTGTATGGTAGCTCTCTGCCATCGTGTCTGTGTCCCACCTTACTGAAACCTCCTGTGTGCTAGTCTTCTGGACATGTTGTGTCTGGGGTAGGGACTGGGGTACAGCAGGTGCTCAGAGATTACTGGACGAACCAATGATGCCTCAGGAGTGCTGAACTTATTAGCTAAACCTTCTGCCCTACCAGGCAGCAGGATGCTGTTACTGCTGCTGCTGCTATCATTTCTTCCACCAGCACTGTAAGTAGTTTCCATTTACTGAGCATTTACTACATGCCAGGCGTTGGGGAAAGCATTTCTCAGTTACATCGTACACTTCTCTGTCATCACATGGGGTGGGTGTTCTGTTAATATCCTCATTTCTTAGAGAGGGAAACAGGCTCTTGTTGCAAAGATCAGGTTGGGCCTGGGCATATGATGAAGGCTGGGTCATTTAGGGGCCTCCCTGGGACTGTGATGGAGCCAGTGGGGACCGTTGGCTTTCTCCTTCCGAAGCGTTAGCTGATAGGATGTGAATGTGAGTATCTTTCCCGGGACTGGAGAGGGCCTGTCTGCCACAGGAGAGAAGGAGGCCTGTTCTTAAAGAAAGGCTGAAGCAAACAGTACCGACTGATGGGGCTGCCAGGGAGATTATTCAAAGATATTATTGGAACCCTGGATCCAGCAATGCCTGAAGTTGACACATCTTTGAAACTCT